CCAATGCGTTCTTTCGGTTCCTTATAGAACGTTGATGCTTCCAATGCAAACGCGTGTGCGTGCATAGACATGCGCACCACTCAATTCCAGACGTCGAGGCAAACAGTGCCTCCGTCCTGGCTGATTCACCGCCCCACGGCAGCAAACTGCTTTGCATTCCTGTCTGACCTTTAACCTGCCCTTCTCGCGGCGGCAGCCGCGTGATGGCTTTCTTCCCAACGCCGCACCACCCGAACAGAGAACTATTAATTATCGGCAAAAGGCCGACGCCCACCCGGTCCGGCCCTCATTCTCCGACACGGCCCGGCCCCCATTCTCCGGCACCGCCCGCGGGCACGGCATCTCACCGGAGGTGCTCTTAGCAAGGAGCTGTGCGGGTGGGCGCCGCGGCTCCCACGCTCGGGGCTGAGTGTTGCAGGAGTGTTGCACGTTCTGAGGGACAGGAATGAGAGAAGTTACACTGGCCGAATGGGTTATGCAAATGTGACTGGTTTAGATGCACGTGTGCAAGGGGCTGCATGATTCCAGAGCATCCAGCGTCTCTCTTAGGTTATCTCGTAAACGAGTACCACCAGGGAAAATTTTTGTTATTATTTCTTTTCAACCCCAATGTGGACGACCGCTAATTGATCAGAGGGAAAATCATAGTTTTTATGCACAGTGCGGATTTTCACGCCGATCATCCGGCAAAGAGCTACCTGGCGCTGAAAGTGAGGCATTGATTAAGCTCCTGCTGTTACAGGTCAGAGTATTCGGAGGTTCCTTTGCTGGCGCAAAGAGGACTTACTGAGATGGGCGAGGTGAGAAGAGATAAGAAGAAAGTTGCCCTTGTTTTTATCGTCAAGTGCTTTTAAATCTCTTCGTCTTTATACCTCTGCAGCCTTCTTTTCTATCCTCTTCATTTTTATCTCTGCCTGTCTGTCTGTCTGTCTGTATGTCTCTCTCTCCCCCCTCTCTCTCTCTCTCTGTGCGTCTCTCTCTTTCCTTTTATCTCTCTCTCCCTCTCTTTGTCTTCCTCTTTTTCTCCCTCTTTCTCTCTCTCTCTCTCTCTCTCTCTCGCTTTTTTCTCTCTCTCTTTCTCTTTCCCCCTGCCTCTCTCTCCCCCCTCTCTCTCTCCTTCTCTTCCTCTCTATGCACGCCTAAAGGCTGCTAGCTCCGCGACAGCTGGACCGACAATGCCGCACCGCGTCATTCCCTGCACCGCGTCATTGTCGGCGTATCAAGCCTCTCCGCTTCTTCCTGCCCGTCAGATCATACCTCAAGCTGACCCTCTATCACACTAATCCATCCTCCGTCTTCATTTGGAGAGAACCTTTTCTTCTCCGCCGTCGGCGGCAAGGTCTTCTCAGCGGATGATGCAAAACAGCCCACGGGACGCTGGCGCCATTGATCCCTTTTCTCCCTCCTCCCCGAAAGACGCGAACTTCATCATTCATAAACAGGCTGGCGGAGACTGTCTATTGCCGGCCGCAAAGAACGCTGCCCGAAACGACGGGGGCTGATGAACGATGCCGGGGGAATATGTGGTGTGTGCGTGCGTGTATGTGGTGTGTGTGTGTGTGTGCGTGTCTATACTGCAGATTGCGAAATGACTTGTATATTAGCCACGGGGGTGATCATTTTCTGATCTTGCGCCTGAATTTTGCCCTTTTGGGTATAGCCTACATCCAAGCTGAGCTATCTATGATATAAGCCCATCATCCATACGGTCGCATAAGCAGTGTCCTGTCTGACTTTGAAAGAGTTGGAGAGAAACAGGGGGAAGAGGGAGAGGGGGAGAGGGGAGGGGAAAGGGGAGTGGAGGAAGAGGGAGAGGGGGAGGAAGAGGAGGAGAAGGGGGAGGGAGAGGGAGAGGATGAGGGTAAGGTGAGAGGAGAGGGGGGGTGGACGGAAGGGATAGAACCGAAGCCAACGCCACTTACCATGACTTTACCTTTGGTGCGCCTCGCCTATATGCCCCATACCACCAGCGTTCATAGGTCACGCTAAGTTTTTGCCCCTGGCGCCCCATATCTGTAGCTTGGCCCGGGAGTCTGACTCGCGCTCCCTCCCCCTTCTGCCGGCTGGGTCGGCTGCCATCGCCGATATGAGTTAGCAGGTGGTGTAACTTCGTGTACTTGGACCCGCTTCCTGAAGTTGGATCCGCGTGTGACGAGCGACGCGGTTTTGAAACTGAATTGGATAGCTCGCCGCGCGTAGAACAGGTGCATGATGCGTACATTTGTTTTACTTGTGCACCAAATGTTCACCTCAAGTTTAATGTGGTTTGTGCTGATGTATCAGTTCGCCGTACGATGGCCGCATTTCGCTGAGAGTCAGCCAGCTTCAGAGGATGTGCGAGGTCTATGAGCGGCCCCCCCAGAGCCACTGTATGCAAGTCTCGTAACACTGGATAGACTTTATTAAGCTGAGCATTGTGAACATATCATCAAAAAAGCGCGCGCTTTTAGTCTGATCTTATCCGTTTCTTAGCATGTTTATTCCAAATATTGCCTCCAAATTTTAAGTTCCAGAAGTTTAATCTTCACTGGATATCTAGGTTTTACAATTTATATATTTTTTGCGTGTAAAGGCAACTTAGGGACCAATCAAATTGGACTAGTTGTCATTGGTGCAGCTTCTTGCCCGGAGTTCGTCGTGAAGGAGTTCAACTGGAATAACATCCAGACAGGTGAGACACAATAGCACGGTTTACGGCAATTGGCATCTCAATTAGTTTTACGGGATTTTTACCGAGACACGAGACCGTGCCGAAATAAACATAAAAGAAAGATGGGTAACTTATGACCTGGTGGCCTTCTGATCTGCTTTGTTCATGTCACAAGTTCTCTGCTCTCATGGCTTACTTCTTCGCTTTCAGATAACAACCGTATGCCCACGTTTGGCGTGTTATTGCGTGGAAATTAAGTGCATTAAGCACCCTGTCTTCGGCCCCGCAATTTCGCCATGGATAGGCACATGGTATGGAAACAAGATGAACAAACTGGGTCACTCCCAGTTTGACCCTAATGCCATGTGACAGTTCCGGACCGTTTCCATCGCGTAATCAAGCTGGGGGAAGAAGCTATGAATCAAGTTGAGTGTACAGGAGATGGAAGGACAGCTTATTGACGAAAAGCTTGTCTCCATACATTATTTCTCGGCGCATCGCAGTCATCCCACAAAAAGACAAGACTGTGTGTGAAACAAACCAAAACAACAAAAATAACACACCCGAAAAAACAAGACGGCTATGCCAGTGAATGAACTGTCAGCGGCAGCGCTAGTTGCAAGCTGGTGACGGCTGTGCCGGTTGAGGAGCTGGAGGCAGCGGTTTCTGATCGAGCAGCTGGCGGTTGGCTGTGCCGGTCAAGGAGCTGTCGCCATTAGCTCTAGTTCTAAGCTGGCGGCAGCGGTGCCGGTTGGGCAACTGACAACGGCGATGCACTGTTTAGGATGTCTCCTCATCTGTTATCTAGTGTTCCGTAACTGAGTGATTGCGCTTTTCGCGCGGTCTATTCCCGTTTATGAGGATTGATGGGCCTACCCAAATCTAGATCACCTCGTTATCCATCTTGCTGATGCAGCATTTTGTGGGAGACATGCTTTTCGCTGACGTTTCGTCCTTTCCACTCCTCTAGCCTCAACTGCATGTCTTTTCGCACAACCTGATGGCGCATTGGAAGCTATTTTGATGGTTGGCTACAGGTTGATATGGGAGGCAGTCTCATCTCGTTATAAAACGACGTGCCTTCCATGGCGAAGATTGCGACCGAAAAGGGGGCATCCAATGCGCTTAATTTTCACGCAAACACGCCCCATATAGAAGACACTGGTGTTACACAAAGTGACTACAAACAATGAAAGCAGAAACAACAAAAATGGACGTGCTGAATCAGGATCGGAAAGCAAACAGCTTCATGAAATTTTCGTTTTCTTTCTTTGCGATGTCCTTCGGTATTATCTTTCGTTGCTTTTTGCAACAATCCCCTTGTTTCTGAAAGAAATGCTTATCGCCGATATCTGAAGAAAATCGTCCCTAGTCTGTTTGCATATGGCTCCAAATGACCTCTTTCACTGGTGAAGAAGTTGTGCCGATGATAGCCATTCACCGCACAGGACAGCTGTAGGAGCGACGCATACCGTACGCTCTGGAATTGCGATAATGGCTATCTTTAGAATGACCTCACGAGGCAATGAAAAGGAGTAAAACACTCAGCTTGTCTCTCACATCACTGCAATGAATCTTTGTTTCCGAAAAGAAATGCTCATTTATTTCGTCGGCCTAGTCTGTATATGCCTTAGTCGCCGTTACATTAAAAAAGCAAGCTCAAATTGAAAAAATAAGGCCGTCAGTGGCGGTCAAATTCTTTAGAGAACTGCAAAATTTGAGGCAATATTCAGAATCAGCGCATCAGAGGACACCAGAGAACATTTCACGAGCGCGACTTACCGTAAAAATACTCAGAAATTGTAAGCCTTGTTCGTGTATAAAACAACTGTAAAAAGCACACATGCCACAATGGCATCCTTGGCATTTGAGAGCTGCGCTGCAAATCACGCATTGCTTTTGCGGCGTTTGCTAAACTGGCACTGGGCTGAAGCCATGATTTGTGCCAAACCACGTCTCTAAGATTAAAGGAAACAAATCAAAGCTACAGGGATTTAAAAGAATTAGGAATAAGGGAACAATCAGATTTTGAGATGATATGTTTACATGCTTTCTGTGCACAAAATTTAAGGGAGCAAAAGGGACGCGTCCGCTTCTTTCGGTGGTTACACTCATGTTGTTGAAGCTGTCCCCCATGTTGCAGAGAGTGGTACGCGAGATGAACCGGCTGGGCATGCTGGTGGACCTGAGCCATGCCAGCACGCAGACGGTGCGCGACGCTCTGGCCGTGTCGCGCGCGCCTCTTATGTTCTCGCACTCGGCGGCGCACGCGCTCTGCAACATCTCCCGCAACGTACCTGACTTCATCCTGCAACAGCTGGTGAGCACGCTGACGGGCGGCGAACAGCTGCCTGTCGCTGATGGACAGAGCGGCAGCTGAGCTAGTTAATCCTACTCCAGGAAAAGGGTGGTAGATTCCGTCTCCCCCGCCCCTGCTGGGATTTCAGAATGTCATGAAACCAAAGGGTGCTTGCCCCCCTTTTATGAAATCTGAATTTCAAACACAGCATTATTAAGGCTGACATTTTGAAACAGAAAATCCAAGGTGCATCCAGGAGATGCAAAACAGAGTGATAATGTATTAAAACGTGGTTTTGATTAGCGCATGCGGAGAAAACGGGGCGTGCTGCTTTGCTGTCTTACCAGAAAAAAAAACAGGAAAACCTCCCCAAAAATAGCACAGGCGGAGGCAGGTTGTCTGTTGTAGTGGTGTAAAGGAAGGCTAAATGAGTAGTGGATATAACTGTTGGTAAATATTATATCGCTAAGTATTGGAAAACAAAGATGCGGGGATCGGTTCTATGCGGTGCTCACCCTTCTTGCCAGGATGGGAGACAGGCGACGCCATAAGGCCTCAGCAGCTGAGGGCGCCGTAAAGCCCCAATGCCAACAACCGTCCAAGGGCCAGACGGATCTCCCAGCTCTATGTGCACCCCGGGCTCCGCCGGTCGCCCACGGGCCGTTCAGGGGCCAGACCGATCTCCCGGCTCTCTGTGAGCCCCAGGCTCTGCTGGCCGCCCACGGGCCGTTTAAGCTGATTAGGGCCCTTCTGGCTGCTGAGGGGCACTCTGGCTATGAGGTGTCTCTGGTGGGTGAGGTCCGCTCTGACCGCTTAAGGGCACTCTGGCTATGAGAAGTCTCTAGTGGATGAGGTCCGCTCTGACCGCTGAGGGGCGCTCTGACTATGAGGAGTCTCTGGTAGGTGAGGTCCGCTCTGAACGCTTAGAGGCGCCCTGGCTATGAGGAGTCTCTGGTAGGTGAGTTCCGCTCTGACCGCTTAGGGACACTCTGGTTATGAGGAGTCTCTGGTAGGTGAGTTCCGCTCTGACCGCTTAGGAGCACTCTGGCTATGAGGAGTCTGGTAGGTGAGGTCCGCTCTGACCGCTTAGGGACAGTCTGGTTATGAGGAGTCTCTGGTAGGTGAGGTCCGCTCTGACCGCTTAGGGACACTCTGGTTATGAAGAATCTCTGGTAGGTGAGGTCCGCTCTGACCGCTTAGGGACACTCTGGCTATGAGGAGTCTGGTAGGTGAGGTCCGCTCTGACCGCTTAGGGACACTCTGGCTATGAGGGGTCTCTGGTAGGTGAGGTCCGCTCTGACCGCTTGGGGACTTAACTGCCCGCCCAAGCTCCCTTGGTGGCGGATGGAAACCGTTGATAAATCCTCTAGCCGTGGGAGTACTCGTTTGATTGCTGGTGACCAACGGTCGCTCAGCGACGCATTTGGTTGCCAGGGTATATAGCTGTATCTTCAAGACCCTTTTGGCATTTGTTTTTGCGTCACCGAGAGGTCCTCCTACCATCCGAAAGTTTTATGGCTGCTCGTGGGTCCCTCCGACCGCTCAAGGACACTGAGAGTCTAGGGCTAATATTAATCACTCAGGGTTCTGGTGTCTGCTCCATGTCACACTGACCACTCAGTAGCCTTTTAGCTGGTCACCGACTCGTTCACTGCTGAGGATTCACTCCGGCAACTGAAAAGCCCTCTGCCGCTGTGATAAGCCTCTGGCTCCGCAGCGTTCCATGGTCCGTTCAAAGCGCTTTGAAGCCTGCTGAGTCCGCATGACCCGCTCAGAGCTCTTCATGTCCGTATGGACCTCTGGGTTCTCGTGGTCGTTTTAGCTGCAGAGGGCCCGTGTTCTCGCTCAAAGGCCACCCTGTTATGTAACGGCATCTCAGCTGCTTTCAAAAGCGGTTCAATCTTACACATCACCCTGCTGATGCGTAAAGGAGTCACGTCTGTTGACAAGTGAGCAGACATGTTGGAGCCCTGGATCGGCTAGTGAAATCCGAATGCGGTGAAATATGACTGGCTTTTGACCCCCTAAAAATGGTTAGAGATCACCACACTTGATCAATTTCTGTTCTAAACTGCTTGGATGAAATGTTGCTGTTGAAAGCGGTGCTGCTGATAATCACGTGAGTCCTGCAACTTCCACACACCTTCGGTGCGTAAAACACATTGAAGTATGCTCATGTTCAAACCACTCATTTGTTCTCGGTTTTAGTGGCATAAAACTAAAAAACACTCAGCCTATTGCCAAAAAGCTACAAACTTACGAGACCAATAAATATAAAATCTCACGCCTTCGGTGGGTTCGAATTGAGCTTGTTGAGACGTTCCATACGTAAAGGTTAACAGGGACGGCTAAAACTGACGATAATTGGGGTGAAATCTTAAAGCTTAAGCGAACTTTCGTGGACCTTCGGTCCGTTAAAATATCTATTATTCTTGTAACGTTGGTTTGCTGCCCTATCTCACTGCTTTTTTGGGCGTGAACTAAGAATCGAAAGAACTCGCGCTTTTTCTAAAACAGTCCTGCCACCTGCCTTTCCGTTACCTCAATTCATCATTCTGCCGGCACGCCTCATCGCCTTTTGCCCAGCACTTTTCGCAGTCACATTCACCTCAATCTAAGTCCAACCTGAACCCAACATATTCCTTCTTCCTTTCCAGGCAGCGCAAAAACCCCTTTTGACCTGCACATTTTGACCAGTGGTTTGACTGCTGGGGCGTGGCAAAAGGCACCCACCAGACAACATATGTCGCGCCAGGATTGAAACGTGTCTGAGGTATGATGGAGGGTATGATGATGTTTGGGATGGGGTTCGAAACGCGCATGTGGTTTTCATAAATGAATATGAGATCGGGGGCCCATGCGTTGGGCGTCATCCCCAAGCGTTGCCTACCACGTCATCCCCAAGTGTTGCCTACCACTGGCTCGAATTCTGCGATGTTTTCAGACGTCTTCGCAGCTTATATTGGTGTCGTCATTATAGTTGGGCTTTATAGAGTTGTGGTGTCGTTCGATCAACAGTGCAGAAATGACAATGTTTCAGTTTCTCTGCATCTGTTCCGCTTGAAATATCAATACTTAATTACGTCATACTCTGCGAAATATTCCTAGGCACGTTCCGGAATTAAACCTCTCAAAAAATGAGACACAAATAATGAGTTTCTAGTTGTTGGTTCAGTGGCTGTCCAGAAAACGAAACCCTGAACGTTTATTCCCTGGTAAGCCCATCCTTTCACTGGAGTAAATATGCTAGACAATAAAACGAGTTGGCTATTAGAGTTGATCATTCAGTACCGCTCTTTATTTTTGTTCGAAAAAATTGGCCTGCTTGGATTTTTTCCGGGTTCAGTGTAGTTCTGTCACGCTTTTCCATGTCCTGGTTGCCAATTCACCGCCCCCCCCCCCCCCCCCATCCCTCCAGCTCCATCATTGGTAATTTGCACTCAAGAACCAGTGATGGTACTGTACCATGACGTGATTCCAGGCTCTTCAAGGTGGCATCGTCATGATCAGCTTCTACAACCGCTTCCTGACCTGCGGGGACACGGCGACCATGGATGATGTGATAGGTAAGCGTGGCCGGTGGCATATGGTTCTGACTTTAAGGGACCGAGCTAGCCATGAATGACATAGGTCTGTCACATACGCTGGAACCTCTCATCTTACATTTCCAAACTTCTGAGTGCATGAAGGTCCTAGCGTGTGAAGTTCATCTTGCTAGCGTGTAAGGCTTGTGCCTCACAACATCCTCACTCTTACGATTTTTCAACTGGCGGCGCGAGCAAGCACATTTCATGCCAGTAAGATGGCTGGTGTTGGTCTGCAGTGCTATATGCGCTGGACGTACATTTCCATTGGTTGGTGAACATCTGTCTACGATATAAGATGAGTTGGGCGGAGAATATTCAAACAATTCAGAAAGTTAAAGATTCCAACTGCATTATCACAATAGCGCTACTAGGTTTAAAGTCTCAGAGTCCTGTCGATTTTGCAAATTGGGAAAATCGGGCTGTTTTAATGAATACTTGACAATTGCGAGTGTTTCGTGGTTCGGTAATGCCAGAAGTCTGCAACCAGACTCCCAGATGCAGTCGCACAATATGCACGTTATTGAAAGTGATGTATTTCAAATTCGCTTCTGCTTCCCAGTAACTTTTACTCTCCACTTCTAAAGCGAGATTCAGATTATTTTACATGTCTGGGGTGGGCCTGAACCATTGTCGAATGTTTTTTTTTTGCGTCTGCCCTGCGCGATACCCATAGCCCATACCAGTGATTTACGCAGCGTGGGGTAATAAGACTGTTGTTACAAAGAAGGATGTAACCGTATAAGGGCTGCAACAAATATGTGCCTTCGCAGGCACAGGAATTGCGAAGACACGCTAAGGCTCACGTCTCTCTGAGTATGGTCTTTGAGCCCTCTTCCACCATAAAATTATAGCCGTTTGGGAGAAAACAAAAATAGTTCAGCAAATCCCTTGTTCCAAGACTAAAAGGTCCAAAACAGACCCGATTGTTTGTTCAATTTCTTTAATTGGTGGAGCAATTTGACTTTTTATATCTTAAACTAATAGACTGTTGGGGCCAAGTTTACCGTTGAGGGTGACAAACCCACTACTGGGGGCCATCTCAACGTTGGGAGGTGGGGTGGAGATGGGGATGGGGGGGGGGGGGCAAGTGACAAGAAGCGGAAAAACATGAGAGAAACGTTGAACAACCGGAGTGACGACGTTGAAATGGCGCGGTCGGGCGCTTAAAGGCTCTGCATCAAAAGGCTCATTTATACAACTTCAGCAATAAGTTCATTTCTAAACAAGTCAATTTGCTCGCCCAGGACCGACGATAGGTGAAGAAAGGGTGTTTTACTTTACAAAAAGCGCAATGTGCAGTTCCTTTGATAGGAACACGCGTGGTATCCATGCAGGTAAATGCCAGCGTCTCGTACGCGCAATCATTGTCATAAAAAGGCACGGAGATGCTCGCAAAAATGTGTGTCGCTGCGAGCAAATCTGGAAAAGATTATACGTGACGTCGTGTAGAATATAGCATTCTTGGTGCGCTGCGAATACACCCTTAGACTCGCTCGCTGGTCAATGTAGGCTACAATTACCTGCATATTACATCCCCATCAGTTGTGGAAATCTGCATCATGGTAATGTAGAGTCTGTCTTTTTCTGCCTGCGTTTTTTCATGTGTACATAAACCTACACAGAAGGAATGTTAACTGGGGCTATTACTTACGATATGTGTCACACTTATTGCGATTGTCATTAATTTTCAAAGCGTGTGTCTCATTAAGATTTGTGTCGTGTTTCCTTCTGCAGTCTCTTCCGATATTGTATCGGTACACAGGTGCGCGTCAAAAATTTCAGTTCAGCATATGATGTTGACTATATCTTCGATAAAGATCCGAAGGTTACTCACAGCAGGCTATGTGGCATGTAAACAAATGTTTTGGACATACCGTGCTCAGTTTTTGTTTCCGTGGAAATATTGCTTAACCAATTAGCGGCAACTCACGTTTTTTGTGGCACTGGTAAATGTGGAGGACGCTACTGGAGTGGCACAAACCTAATTATTGGATGGCATGTGTTTGCTGTCCTTGCACGTCGTATCACAAACGGCGCAGTGAGAACCACCATGGAATAAAAAATTGCTAGTGTTGAGAGGGGAAATGTAGACTATTTCCAAGTTGTTGTGCTTTATTTATGACGTGCTATTGTGTAATGTATTCATTTACGGAGGGAAAAAAACCTATGACAGTCTGACTTCCTTTTTCGTATACATCCTTCCCATTAATAATTTAGCGCTCGCACTCGCCGAGCAATCGGCGAGTGCTTGTAAAGAGTGTAGTTGAATGTAGTTGTAAAGACATGCTTTAGACTACACTCGTTTTCCATGACGAAAATAATGGAGTTTTGGTTCTTTTTTTTAAAGATTTGATCCGAACCCTTTGAATGGATGGATTTCCGGGATCAGAGCTCACGCTAGCAGTGCCTTGTGTGTGAGCCCTGACCCCCACCATCCGATCGCGCAATTCCATGTCGAACGGCAGAATTTGGTGGCGAAAGCTTAACGTGCCGCAGTGCTCGGCACGGTCCGTCTTGCCCTCTGACGTCAACTGACCCTAGCGCGACCGCTGCACCGGCCGCAGGCCATACCTGTCAAGGGCAAATGGCGAGCGCCCTAAAGCGACTCGAACCCACCCCGCCACGGGTGGGCGCATCGGAAGGCAGGCGCATCTAACCAAACTGAGCCACCGGGACGGATCAAATTTACATTACAATTCATTTACATTATAGTTCTAAGTGCATGGAGAATTCCTCTTCAACGTGGTCAACTTTTACATAACATTAATAATTTTGAATAAATCATGATGTTGCTGAGTAAGAAAGCAATTTCAGCGCCCGAAAATGTTGCTCGTTTGGAGCCCCGTAATTACGCAATCTACCGTGATGACCTGCCGCTTCTGGCACCGCGTGTATACAACGCTGCTGCGGTAACAAGCGTGGGCTGAGTGGTGCTTGTTTGTTCCAGCTCATATTGAGCGGGTGAGGAAGATGGCCGGGGTAGACCATGTTGGCCTTGGAGCCGGCTACGACGGAATCAACCTGTGAGTCAAGTTGACCATCTCCGCATCGCACATGTTGCAGCGTATTCGATGATCTGGAATGCTGATGTTTTTCAAGGTCTCACTCTTGTTTGACTTCATGTCTAAAGGGTCGTTCACACCCTCAAAGACTGGCTGCAGAATCCACTGCAGATTCTGCGATTGCCGGCTGTTGCGGACAAGAGGTGCCACTTTTAAGTCGACAGACCCGCAACCTGCGAACAAAAAGTGCTCAACAGTGGTATTCCTGCCGGCAGGCACCACCCGGACGAGCACAGAATCTGCTGCCGATGCTGCTGACATGGGTACTGATTAGCGATACCACTTTTGAGCTGTGTTCACCTGCTAATTCCGGGTCTGTGGGCATAAATGTGATACCTCTAGTCAACGACAGCTATTGACTGCAAGAACCTGCAGAGGACTCTGCAGCCAGCTCACAAGGTGTGGAGCGTGGCTCTCAGTTCCGCTGCCGCCGTGTCATGAAGAGGGCTTGTTCAGAGGCGGTTGTCGTGCTGATCAATGTATGCCCAGTCGTTTTCCCAATTTTAGGAATTGATTTTACTGATGTGGATCTGGTTTTTGTGAACTGTTTTAGGTGCGCAACTCGCTAAGAAATCTGCCCTTTTCAATGCCTTTTGAGAAATATCTTGGTGCTATTTAATCAGTTGAGTGGTACAGTATTTTTACTGAACGTGGCAGCTTCGAACTGGCTCAAACCCTGAATCCTACTACACATAGTTCCAAAATTGCATTTTGAATCATTTTAACCCATATTAAATCAGCTGTTCGTTACGCACACCGTTTAAGAGTGTGACGTCCTATCCCGTCCCCCATTTTGTGAGCTGGCGTTCTTCTTAATCCTGCAGTGCCTGTCGATCGACTGGGCCCCTCCCCCCCCCCCCCCCCAGCTCCATCCCCTGACAGGACGGTCTCCTGGTCCACGCGCAGTGCCAGAGTGCAGTCCGCACTCCCCCCCCCCCCTCTACGCCGCCATTCAGCCTAAGCCACAGTGACCTCTACAGAGTGCCTGAGGGTTTGTCGACCCCTCTCGTACCCGGCCCTGGTGGCGCGCCTCTCATCTCGGCCCGCTGGTCGGAGGACGACGTCAAGCGGCTGGTCGGCCACAACTTCCTCAGGGTCCTCAGGAGGGTTGAACAGTGCGCATCAGGCAGGAGAAGTGTCAGCTTTGGGAACGCCTTGTAGATTTGTTTGGGCAATATGGCAACATTTTAACTGACAGGGCTGGCCACCTGACACAAAATAGGGTTGTTGCGAGTCAACTCAGAAAGCATGTGTTCATATGATAGAAGTAAGGCTAAAAAGTAATATATTTCGATGTTGACATTTTTGGAATGTGAATGTTTTGTGAGAAAAGCAAACTTGGAGAAAAGTGAATATGGATGAGTGGCTGAAAAATCTCCGATGTTGCGCAACATTTTATAGCCATTTCATTTGTCTTTATGTCTCGTGCATATGTAATGACGCTATTGCGTTCTATGCATATTTAACCTGCTGTTAATTAGCCCTTGTGTTGACTGCACGGCCCAGTTTTCAAAAACAATCCTAGTTCTTCTGTGCTTGCCCTTGAGCCCTGAAGAAACCCTAAAGCGATCAATTTAAGTCATTTTCGGGCTTAGTTTTAATACATCAGCAAAGACTATTTAGTGCCCCTTACATTTATCGTAAATGTGCTAAAATAATATCGAGAGCTACAAAGGTGCAGGTTGTGATTGTGTATTCTTCTTAGTTAGCGCATATTAGTGGTGTTTTTATATATGGACCAAATCACCCATTCAAAGCAACTGGAGCATTGCTAGATCATCACATGCAGGCCTGGAACCAATTGGCGAGGTTCTCCGGTTTAGCGGCCATTTTACACGGCCCTAATTTGGACGTCACTGTTAACGTTCTTGTCGATGGCAGTCATTTCCTGCTGCAGCTTTTTGCTTCGTCTAATGGCGGCCATTTCGATGTGACCCTGTTCCGAGAATGTCGGTTCGCTTTCCGGTCGGGCGTGGCCTCCGACACGCTAAATCTCCGTTTTTCTGGCGCCGGGCGTGCTCTGTTCGGCCTGAACGGAACGAGGCTCAGAGCCAAGCTCCTTCTTGGCCACAGTCGTCGTGCGGCGTGGTTTATAAACACTACTATCGCGTGAGATCCCCCGGTGGGAAAAGCTTCCCAACAAAGGCGTATTTTGAGGTTTCGTAGGGCATTTAACCCATTGCAAGCTACGGAAAACGATTCGCTGTAGGGCCAAACTGTCACCAATAGCCATTCGATAAATCTGATTACAGCCTATTATGTTGTTGCAAGGGCCAACGACACGAGATGCTTGATCGCGTTATTTAGCTGCGCTGGATTGGGGTCCTGCAGACTTTGATGCCCGAATTGGCACTCGATGTCTTGGTATCAGCATTGATAATCAGCCTTATAAGCCTTTAACAGATCGGAGATGGCTAGCAGGGGCAAATAATGGCGGGAGCGTATCATGGCAGGGTAGAAATTAATCCACATCAACTCAGTTATGCTAAGTGTCCCGACGAAAATTCACCAGTTTAAATGAAATCGCATTGCTTGAGTGCTGGAACCAGGGGAAGCCAGGAAAACCAACGGGTCGCGCTCACTGAGTATTTTAGAGTTGAAACTAGGTGAGCGAACGCAGCTTTATTCAGCGCGTGCATTATTGGTATTGGCTGGATGATCTGCGCAGCGGTGGTGACGAAATACCAGGTTTGATTAAATTGTGCACCTGTAGAGAAACACCAGTTTAAATAGTTTCAAAATTTTATAACTATGCAAACCTGGGGCATGCGCCCGTGCAGCTGTGTCCATTTAAATGAAGATTTTGCGAACAAACGCAGTGGTTTAATATCTCTGATGCCTCGTACGTAGCTATAGCAAAGATCGTGTTAATTTCAAAAAAGCTGAAAATGATGCTGCAATGCACTGTGGGGAAGCTGGTACCGTATTTCAATTCGTCATCATACTTAAACCGCAACTCTTTCCACAAGCAGAGCTGTTGGTGACAATCACGACCTTTTGCTTCGAAAGACATTGACGCACTCACTGTGAAATTAAAAAATCACAATATAAAATAATTGTGATTGTTTAATAAATTTTTATAATTTTTTTTAAAAATTTAAAAAAAAAATATAAAAATTCTATAAAATCACAAAAAAGGGATTTTAACTACGGCATACTATATTTTGGTCCCGGAAGTGGTTGTGGACATGAGAACAGCCAACAGAGCCATCAGCTTAATTTCCGCTGCAAGGACGCAGCATCGTCTCTAATCCTGTGCACACCCCTGCCCAAGAGTGACCTTCCTACTGTTTCAGGTACGGGATCACCTCTCGTCGAAGAGGCGGTGTCTCATTGGATGAGTTAAAGCCAATGAGCCGGCATCGCCTGAGCAACAACTGCACTTACGACATACGGCTTTAATGTTTTATGCCGTGCGCGTTGATCCCGTAAGCGAAGCTCAAACGCCATGTGTGGAATGGTGCGGTAACCAATCAAAATAGGAAATTCGTCATTTCGGTTTGGGAAGGAACCATCCAACAAGCCTCAGTTACTGGAGAGCTTTTTTGTTTAGCGGCCGACTATAAATCACGTTTCACATGGAGTGGGGAGGAGAGGGGGGGGGGGGGCGGACTGTGCGTAACCGAATTGTAACAATGCAGGGATGGGTTTGTGTGTTCGATAGCGTAACTTCACGCTCAGGTGTGGTTGCAAATCATTGAATATTTTTGTTGACACCATTACGTCGAATAAATTTTGCATGCTCTTCTCACAAGCAGCATGTCCCTTTTTCTTTAACATCTAGTTTAATTTGAGACCAAACGGACGCTAGTTTTTGGAGCGTTACGTGAATCCCAGCACATCAAGGGAAACGGGGTTTTCGCCCAGCGTGCCACATGCGTAACCAGAAGGGAAAAGTTTGAAAAGGCGCGGAAAGTGCGTGATGTAATTCATGGAGGGTCCCTGAGCGCCAGATGGTGTGAGACTGATGGTAAAATGAAGTACTTGGGTGGCCCGTCGGGCATTCAGTGATGATTGTCATGAAAATACACTGACTTTTAATGACGAAAACACAATCACCAGCACACCGCTACAACACAGTTACACGAGCTCATCAGCCATGAGCGCCTGAATGTGTGTGAGTATGAGCGAATCAAGTCAGTTTTGATTCGCGTACGTTGGCCAGACTCGCAAAAGAGCGCTCGTTTTCCTTTCAAGTGCGTCGCGTTTCAGTGACAATAGATGTCTGAGGACCCACGGCCTGGAGGACGTCACGGACGGGAACAATCCACAGACGGTGAACGGATCCACGGGCGGATCGGTAGGATTGGATTGGATCGGATCGGATCTGAAAACTGAACACTACAGATTAGAGCTCGACGGATCTGAGAGCTTCCCTGTGAGCACTTACTGAACATGTTTCAACTTAATCAAACTTCAGATGACGCCAACTTAGCGGAAATACCCACTGCAGGATCCTAGTAAAGGAGCTTTAATCATGCAGGAAGGGTATGTTCAGTTATAGATACTGAAATAGTCCCGGATGATTGAGCTAAACACGTCGATGATGATTTTATCCACAAAAAGTGGCTGCTAACAATAATGACAGCAGCCTGAGAGGTTGTTACCAAACCATTACCTACCATTATATGAAAGGCATGGTCAGCCGTGGCTGATCACTAACAATGTACCTAAAACAAATGTACCTATAGAAATGAAAAATTTGTGCAGCACCAGCAAATCATTCATTTTTATGCTCATACGATGGAAAAGCCGGCATCAAAAGCCACGTATTCTTTTGAAGTTGGGACGGCATTGTCAATCTGATGAAGACAGTTAGGTAGCATTTTATTCTTTGCATTCTGAATCAGCAGTCACCTGGCGTTGCAGCAAAAAGAGACAGCGTTCGAGGTTGCAACTATCTTAGTATTTTGTTCTTTGGTGCTGCCTTATCTATGTCCGTGATCCTTTCATAAGGCTTCGAGA